GGTAATGTTCATTTCACTGTTGTAAGCTGCTCATTCACTGTTGAAAAGCTGCAGGCATCGACATTTTGCTTTGTTTAGTAAATAAGTAAGTAATGTTTATTATATATGTTTATTTGTATACACTCTGTGTATACAAGATGGTAGTACAGTTAGTCTAATTTGTCTATTTCGGTTGGACCTACGCAGCAATTTGAAGGAAATGTGATGAATAAGACGGGAAGAGAAACATACACCCACTGTATGGAGAATACATAGTAGAATCTCTGAACTGCAAGGTGATTTATACAGTAAGTATACAGCAAGGGGGACAGAAATAGGAATACACAATTAATAAAACATTGCAATAATCGGTTTACTTTACCCATGGTATGAGCTGAGAAGAACACACAACAGATAAAGTGAAACAGTGATTTCCTTTGAGTTCGTTAGAGCAGCAACAACGGCTCAGCATTCACTACCCTGCTTGTTTATGCTGGAGGAATTTCTGGGACAGGCTCTGCCATGAATGCATGGCGGTGCATAGTGGGAGGCTCTACACAGCCTGTGTGATTAAAAAAAAGTCCAATCGGAGCTTGTAGAGTCAGGCGGAAGCAGCATGTTGCAGCCTTAAGAGCTGACCTCCGGGGGAGACCTTTAGCACCTAGGCCACTGTGATGGTGAGGTCACTGGCGACAAATCCACATTATCTTGACAGAGGAAAAAGACTCCATTGAGACTGAATGCAAACTGACAGATGGACATTACTGCTCACCATAGAAGTGCTCTGAGTTTCCAGACATAAAAACTTACGTTTTTATTCCAAAAACACAAAACAAATCTAAATGTTATGGTTGGACATATGAGGTGATTATTGGCTTCAAGTTCACTACTAATAACAAGCTTTCCACATTACACACTGTAATTTGAACTTTTCATTAATCATAACTTGAATAAGTAGTTATGAGTAATACAAAATGCTGGTGCCATAACAGCTCTCGCACAATAAAAGCACAAGTAGAGAAAAAGCAAAAACAAAACCACTAAATCCCGGTATTAGTAGGTAAAGGTACATGACTAAGTCCGTGGTGAAAAGGCACAGGGCAGTAATGAGTAATGAAAACAGCCGTGTTAGTGCTGCCATTCAGTCGAGGGCCTGGTGCTGTGGAATGTGAGGCACCATTCATTCACATGGGTTAAAAATGCATTTCTGCCACCACAAAGCCCTGCCTTGTCCTCATTGTTTCTCACCACACCAAGAAAACACTTCCACATTCTGGACAAGAGGGGGAAAAAATGGAAAAACTCATTTTACACCCACATACATGGGGAAACAAAAGATTGGAGGGCAAATGAGTTTTTAAATCCTTGGAAAAATTAGGAGTCAGAGTAGGACGGTTTAATCATAAAACCTACATGGAGAAACAAGCCCACAAACTGCAAGCAAAACGCACATATTCCCATTGAAAACGATCAAATGTATCCAGCGGTTCTTCTAAAAAAGGCAAACAATGGTAGAAGAAAGTATGTTTGTTTCACTGTAATCATGTGAAGTTATCAACTGATTGATCTTATGCTGTGCAGAAGCAGGAGCATGAATCAAATCTGGATTTGAAAGCCTGAAAAAAAGCCACTATAGAGATAGGTCACGTTCCTGTTTCGTTCCATTTTACAACGCTCAACAAGTGGCTCACAGAGTTTCCATTCACTAAAAAAAAAAAAAAAAAAAATCTAGAAAGCCTTTTTTTTTCAGCAAATTTATGCTAAAAAAACAAACTAACTGTTACAGTATATGTAACAAATAAGTTGTTACATTCATGCTGATTTTACAGTCTCTACCTTACTCCCTTAAATAACATGCTGCTGTCATTTTGCACATCTCTGATGTTGCTGCTAATTTTACATATTCATTACTGTAAAAATGTCCACAGCTGTATATTGGTTATTTATTCTCCATTTGCATCGTATTTATATTGTTAAAACGCTTTACAGTACAGTTTTTATTTGTTTGCTTTTTTACTCTTCACTTTATGTTATTTTTACACACTTTTCTAAGGTCCACGTTTGTGTGGCCATTTTTTCTATAATCATTTTGCTGCTGCTGTAACACCAGAATTCCCCCATTCTGGGACAATAAAGGGAGTTTATTCTATTCCAGGGTTTATACAGGAATGAATAACTCAAATTTAATGCTTTTTAATGCTCTTAGAAATAATTTTAATGCCACCAACAGATACCCGTCGACAGGCTGTAGCCAGGTCCCTAATTCCTCGTTTTCTAGCCAGTTTTGTTGAAATTAGCTTCCCCCCCACCCCCCACCCCCCTTTTTCTAGCTTTTTTTTTCCGACTCAAGCTTCTTTTCTGAACATACAGCTTTGCGATCAACCGGAAGCAGTTCCACACAAATATATCGTGATATAATACGTCTGACGAAATTGTTTTTATAAACATTTTTTTTTTAAATAAAGCATTTTAAATGCCACAATAAACACATTTAATGAATTTTAATGCCAATTAGGGCCTTAATTGAAAAAATAATAATTGAATGACTTTTAATGATTTTTAATGACCCTGTATTCTATTTCTTTCTATTCATTTATATTCTACTCTATTCTATTTTGTTCTATTCTATTCTAGTTAAGTAGTAGGGGACACTGCTGGTGACTGTAATGTAAGCAGTTATCCCAACTAGAACTAAATCAACAGTGTTCCTAAGGACAGCAGGAACATGATCTATTCTATAGGTCTCTGATAAATAAAAATAAAAAAATTCAGAATTGATTCTCATATTTATTTAAATATCAATATTTTTTAAATGCATTTTCCACTGTCCTTACAGCTGCCATTAACTAACATTGCCTTATTAATTTGCCGTTGAACATTACTATATCACGCTAGTATACACAGTGATGTATTTTATGTAGCGGCTGAACAAATGTTTTTCATACTAGAAATAAGTTTAAAATCGATTCTAAATTGTGAGAATCAAAATTAAACTGATTTTTGAATTTTTAATCGATACCCAGCCCTTTATGCTTTAGCTCAGTTCAAACACAAATGGTCAAAAGAGATTTTCATCCTATTCTGAATTTGCATTAAGGAGGAAAAAATAACATTAACATAAAAAAAAAACTTAACTGAGAGCAACTTTTTGTCTATTTTTCCATTAAGAACAAAACTGGAAACAACTTTATTTTTTTACCAATAACATCAGCAAAAAAAGTAATGAATTCAAATGATTCCTAATCAAACCTGTTCCCAACTTAATGATCATTTTGTTATGTAATACTGAATGGATACTGTGCTGCTATAAACACAGAGTGAACGCTTTGCAGGCTGGAGAAGAAATCTTTAACATAATGTCTGCAAACAAGCACGAGGAGGGGGGGGGACAATGTAATCCTGTCTGCAAAACAACGTCCTGTCTCTTCTCCCTCCCTCCCTCTGCTGTTTCTTTCTCTTTCTAAGTTAGGGTGACATCACAGCAAAGGGGGGAGAAAAAAAAAGTGTTGTGTGCATCTATGACAGCAGCACTTATAAAGTCCCCCTGAGAGGAAAAAGAAAGAAAAATCACCATCGAAAAAGAGAAAAGTCTCCACTGATGATCTCACACCAGCCGTCAGTTGGAGACGGATAATAACTGGAATACAAACGGCGAACACAACCCTATTATCACTGTGCTCCACAGCTGTGTGTTTGGGAGGGCGGGCGAGTGTGAGGCTAACTACTATAGGCTACTGTTGGAAGTTAAAAGTCCAATTCACGCTGATAAGGGATTTGTTTTGATTTTCCTCAACTTACTGACAAGATGTTGAGCACAACTTGGCGCAAATTCTGCCGTCTGTTCCTTTGCTGCTTTTATTCAGCTATATCTGCAGCTTAGCACTGTAATCACACATGTTAATACTATGAAAATGATCTGCATAAAGGAGAACAACTTGATAGGTCTATTTACATTCCATTGTCTTTTATGATGACTTCCCCCTTTATCTATATATATGTTTATCTTATCTAAGGCTCCAGTCAGTGTTGTTTACTGGGATCAAGGTAAACCAAAGTTTTATTCAGTTGGTGTCAAAACCAAAGATTTTCAGTCATGCCTTTCCTTTTAATGAGATGCTAGATAATTCCGGTCATATGGCCTTTATAGTAATGGAGTGCCGCATCTCCCCTCCCCCACGTGTTGCTGTGCACTCCCAATTGTACTTTTCGCATGCTGAACAAATTTGTCTGGTTGAGGAAAATTTGAATTATTCCGGACAAACTTAATATTTATTTTGAGGCGTTTTAATGGATCTTCACCAAGCGAGCCGGGGTAGGAATGGTTGGTTCATGGAAAGCAGGTATGATGAGTTTATTTTTCAAGAAAAAAAAAAAAGTAAATACAGTCAATGCAACTCAGGCAGCATTGCCCCTCCCCCACTTGTTGCTGCTCACTGCCAGTCAGTTGGCACCTACTGCTTGTCACTCTTAAAGTGACGGCTTTGTTTGAGAAGTGCTGTGCAGATCACTTATTAAAACAGCTTTGTTCATAGTTTAGTCATCTGCAGTCATAGTTGGCTTTTGTTTTACTCTTTTTTTTAGTTGAGAAATCCATATTGTAGGGTCTTCAACATGTTTTCAAAAAACAGGAGGAAAGAGAACTAAAGTTAACATTTCTGCTGCATTTAAAGAAACAAAGCCATGGCAGTTGTACTCATACTGCCATGACATCCTCATATCAGCCAGTTCTTGCACATTCCAATGATTATCAGCAAAGTACAACAAATGTTTACAGCACTGCTCTGCTTGTTTATTACATAAGGACACAGCACGTTATAAAGCCCTAACTTGACAAAAAGCTAAATCTATTAACCATTAATAGTTTTTTTCCCTCACTGAAACAAGGAACCATTACTTTTAACAGGCAGATTCTACCATATTACATTTTTTGAAAGAAAAAAATTCAGTTTAACTGGGAAAAACAAAAACAAAAAAACACACTCAAGATATAAAAACAATAATAAATGGACACAGTTCCTTACCGGTTAAAGAAACAGTGAGGTGAAAAACACAGAAACAACCCGGTGCAGTTCTCCCAAAGCAAACTGGATCCAGTGGCAGGAGTGAAGATCCACTAGAGAAACACTCAGATGTGGAGTCCACTCTCTCTGCAAACTTAGAACAAAAGGAGAGAAAACCCTCAAATAAGTTTGTCTCCAAAAAAGAAAAAAGAAAAAGGACTAGGAATTATTATGTCAGGTGAATTCCTTGTGCTGTTGAACAGCACAGGTTCCTCTCTCTGTCACTCTCTCCTCTTTCTCTTTCTCTCTTATTTCTCGTCTCCTATAGTTTCCCTGATGCTGCCTTCAGGTGTAATCGGAAATGCGGCTGCTCAAGAATAAACTTGACAGATGAGGCAAAATATAAAACAACCAATGCGACACAGCCTTTTTTTAATTTCTCTGTAATATTTCACGAATTAGCTGCTGTGTTTGTAACTTCTCTAAGATAGAAAAGCCTCATCTTCTGTTCTCAAACGTTTCCCTCTAAACGTAACATGACGCTCTTGCTCTTGTTCTGCTTCAGACACTTTAAAGTCTGAAGCATTTTTACAAACAAATATAGCCGTTGCACATGTATTGGCGAGGTTCTGACTGTTTTTAAAAACTATTTCTTTATAAAAATAAAATAAAATATAAATTAAAAAAGCATAAAACAGATGGCAAATTCCTCAACAAACCTTGGAAATATAGTTTCTGATCAAGTGATGGAGTTTCTGGGAGCACCTGAACCAACCATGAATGGAATATGCCCAATTGTGTTAGTGTGTGTGGATGTGTGTGTGTGTGTGTGTGTGTGTGTGTGTGTGTGTGTGTGTGTGTGTGTGTGTGTGTGTGTGTGTGTGTGAAGCATAGAATCAGAGGGAGAAAAAACGGAGAGAGAAAGAGGCAAAGTTTGCCCTCCTGGTGTTAGGACCTTGTCCCCAGCTCAGAGCGACGCGCGCTCCTCTCTATCTGTCCTCTTCCTCTGTCTCTCTTTGTTGTTTCACTCATGTCTCCTGCGCTTCCTCCTCGAGTGGAGGATCAGCTGGCTCGTGCTAGTGTGCGCGCGCGCGCCTACGTGATTCTAAAGTATCTAAAGAAAAGGTGACTCTGGACAATAGAGTTTAATTAGCCACATCAGCTCCATCCATGTTTGCGCAAACAACCCAAGCACCCCCCCTTTCTGCGTGATATGGAATTTATGCTTTTGGGTAACAGATGCAGACAACATCTGTGATCAGACTTGTGCACGCACCTGTATGCGTGCGCGTGCGTATCGAAACGCTTACTATGCATCCGCGCGCAGACATAGATCACCAAACCAGCGCGTGGGTGCATCACCATTTATCCTTAATAGAAAAAAAGTTAGAAGCCAAAAAAAAAAAAAGAAAGAAATCAAGCGGGCGTGCACGCGCACACGATCACCCTTCACTCCACATGTTTCCGCATCCCCCCCCCCCCTCTCTCCTCCTCCTCCAACAACACTAATACACGCACGCGCCCTATAATGCACGCACCTACCCGCGTGCATGCGCAGAGATTCAAAGAAATGCGACACACCAAAGAGCTTCCAGCGGTTTCAGATCCTCATATCTGTAAGGCAAAGACAAGCGACTACTGGCACCTGTGCCCTGTTCAGTGGCAGTTGTGCCACGTCTATTATGTAGGACACGACTTCCTAATATGGATATACCCCCCCCCCCCCTTTCTTTACCCCTCCCTAACGTCCACCTCTCCCCCTGTATGCCTGCTGCTGAGTGAATAAAATAATCGCTTAAAAAAAAAGGAGAACAGTTGTCCCCTCCTCTTGGGTGATTCCTGTCTCTCTATTTTTTTTTATTTTGTACAGCATTTATAGCTCTGTAGGTATATCCGCCATCTGTGTGGATGAGGGGATTACAGTGTGTTTCCCAAAAATAGAAAAGAAATAAAGAGATGATCTGCTGGAAAGTTTGTTGTTGGTGTGTTTTTTTCCCCCATGGTTTTCAGAGAAACACTCCTTGTCATGATTCTTTTTGTACAAACTTTTATACCAGTTAAGGAGATCTGCATTCATTTAGTTTTTATTTTAAACATAAAGTTAATGATCTACAAATATTAACATGTTTCTTCTTGATTCTTGTAGAAATTAGATCTTTTATACCATGCCTAAAATATATCAGTTTGGTTTCTTTTTAAAAACACCTCTAGCTGCCTGTAACCTATTTATATATCAAGATCAGACAGTCGCCTTTAACATACAGTCCCATTTAAAAAAGAAAAAAAAAACGCACTAAAGGAGTTTTAGATGAAAGGTAAGGAAAAGATAAGGAAAAACTAATGGCAGCCTTACCTGCTTTATCTACGACAGAAGTGCAGTGTGACTTCAAGAAGCAGAGACAATCCTAAAGGTGAAAGCATACTCTTTGCAGTGTATGCTGAAGTGCATGATTGAGTAGGTCGAGTCCATTCTGTCCCACTAGTGGGGGGGAGGGAGGATGTGAGAAGGGAAGCTACGCCGCGTTTAACGCGGACGGCAGCTTCACGCGGCGCTCGCTCGTCAGATAAACAAGCTGCGGCGCGAGACGTAAGAGGACGTCACGCGCCGCTGTGGATTCGGTCGGTTTTTAGCTCGCTGGAGAAGTCTGACGATTTCCTGACGCCCCTTTGCGCGAGCCCAATGGCTGCTCCCGCATTAAATAGAACTATCTGCTATTGTCTCATCAGCGAAAAGTTGTTGATACCTCCTGGTGGGGGGGTAACACTTATAAGGGTAATAGTTATCATGTACTATCTTTATCAAATTAAAGTTGGGAAACATATTGGGGCTAATTACTAATAAAATGCTTTGTAAGTTCTGTGTATTATATTGACAGCGTGTGAAAATCCAAACATATTTTGGTTAAAAAATTATTATGTTTTTTAGGTAAAAAATATATTTCAGTGATATGATTTCTCCAAATATAAAAAGGTAAAAAAAAAAAATTTAAAAATGAGTTTGGGGCAAGTTTTGCCTTACAAGCGAACTTTTCAACCCTAGCAGATCAAAATCCTCAACGGTCATATTGACATAATACACCAGAATGTTATAAACACAAAATATCCTTAATGAATAGAATATTTTTAAAAAGATTAATTTCATTACTCAGTTTTAAAATCAATTTTTATTGATTATGTGCAATTATACAGTTTTTTTTTCCAATCTTTTCAGAGATTATGCTAATGATGATTTTAAAAAAAGACAAATATCGATTTCTCAGGTATGCAGAACATCACTGTCCTGTTTTGTAAATTAGAAATAAACATGGACCTGTGTATATATATATATATATATATATATATATATATATATATATATATATATATATATATATATATATATATATATATATATATATATATATATATATATATATATATATATATATATATATAAGGGAAGTTGAGTGAAAGGAAAAAGTTTTGGGAAAAAAGGTGCAGAAGCAATCTTTTTCGTGTAATAATTATAATTTTCTTTTCAAATGAAATGTGAGTGATTATGATCTGGAAGCCCTTATCATTAAAATAACAGAAATAAATAGACAAAGTAATGTATTAATATAACTTTTTTTAATTAGGTTATTGAAATAAGGTAACATTTTTTAATGATATGTAGAGATGCTGCTGCATGTGTGTATAACAGCTGGATTATTTAATTTCCTTTCATAGTTTAATTCTATATAAGTATATCTGCTAGTTGGGTTGAAAGAATTTGCAGAGTTTACAAATACTTCATACATCCCTGTGCGAAATACAAAGTCTTACGAAATAAAGCAGTGCCTACTGCAGATGTTTATGCATTTTGTGTATGACATTTTAATCTTTCACACATGTTTTCATGATCATTTGTGGATAAAGCACTCTCTGAACAGCCAGCCTCTCTGGTTATGACTCATTGGGGCTTACCCATTGTGTTAAATGGCGTTAATGTTGGACCAGTTTCATCTCCACTTTCTACCCCATGATTGTTAGAGTTACAACATGGCCACAAAATACTGTTTCTGTTTAAAGTATTTGTTTTGTGATATTCAAATATTCAGAATTAAATTAATTTAGGGTTTCAATTAGCTGATATACAACCAGAACTTTTGGATATGAGGAATCTAAATTATGTTTTCTCTTTGATTAAAAAATTTGTCCCAAAACAAAACTTTTCTTGGGGCTTCTCAAAACGAAGGAATTGCAATGAATGAAACACAGGAAAAATAATAGACTTTCACTATTTTGCTGAGCTTAAACTGTTGTCCAAGTACTGCTCGGGACACCTCATTGATACTACAGATAAAATGCAGTAAACATGGTGTTAATGAACAACACTACTCTGAGCTTACTGCTCCAAATTGTCATTATTTAATAATTTTCTGTATATTATATCCCCTCCTCTGCTTGAACATATCTGTAGTTCAAATATATTTATCTTTGCTGCCTGAAAAAGAAAATAAAAAAAAAAAACTACTTGAGGCGGGAGGTTTCTTCCTGTGGAAAGGGATTTTTTCCTCTCCACTGTCGCTTCATGCATGTATGGTATGAGGGATTACAGAAGTGTGAGCGACAAAATGTGTGTTCTTCGAGTCAATGACTCAATGCAGTCAACTGTTTTTTCTTGACAGAAACGTTTAACTAATCTGACTTTAATATCTCTGTAAAAAGCCTTGATATGACACGTGTTGTGAAATGGAGTTATATAAATAAAATGAACTGAATTAAATTAATTACTGGGGACTCAAGTGCCTAAAAGTTGACCTAGAACTGTTGCTTCTGGCATCTGTAACCCATATATCTAACTGGTGGTTTTGAAAATACATTTCTTGTTAAAGGTTGTGCTCAGGGACCATGACAACTCTGTTAGCACTGCAATACTTTCCCTATAAAATAAGTTGTGGCTTACAATGAATAGCATATTAATATATAAACCGGGAAAAGCACCAACAGAAGCACTGCAATATTTTAAATTTCAGGGAAGTTTTTTTACTTCTCTTTTTAGAACTTTTGACTTAGAAAAAATCAAACATGATATTTTAATGTCTTTTTTAATTTGTTTTCATGATTTAATATGGTTTCAAAATATCTCTTACAATGGAGTTTAAAACCTTGGTAGTTAGGTGTTACTTGTTATAAAGGTTGGGGAACCCCTGCTAGCTCTAACACATTTCAGACTCGCTAACAGAGATTAATTCCATTTGGATATTACACATGTTCTGCATATTTCCACATGTAAAGTACATGTAACCTATTTCATCTCTTACAATCAAATGATCTCACAAGACACAGTCAACTAAAGCCTGCAGGATATCCTGACATTTTATTATATTAGAAATAGAAACTAAGCCAGGTTTAACCGCTTTGGTTTGTTTTTAGATAATGACATTTTTTTTCCATCCACATGATTCTAAATGCTTGCACACGTAAGTGAGAAGGAATGTCATGCAACAGGAACACTTAAAAAGACTTTGAATAATTACTGGGAGTCTAATGAAAACATTAACTCCTGCTAGTTCAAACAAATAACCATACTGGGACTAAAACAAAGTCCAATCATATTAAGCTGTCTTAAAAATCAGGTTAATTCGACACACCCAAAAAAAGTCAGCCGACTTTTGTTTATACACCCTCCAGTGCGGGACCTGAAAATCAAGAAAAGCTTGAAAAAGTAACCTTTGATTAGATTGTAAACATACAAACAAAGGTGCATATTTGGTCCCAATCGTACTGATTCCACATGAAACATATTTAGATCACTGCAGTCCTGTCATATTCTTTGTCGCTCAACGCAGTCGTCCACATATTTAGATTTAGGTTAAACATTGTGATGGTATTCAGATCTACCGGCAGGGTTGATAAAATGAGCTCCAGATCTCTGTGCAATAAGTCATGTGTGGTCACTGTCACTCGGCTTTGTTGTTGTGGGTGCTACGCAGAGGTCAGAGTTGTTTGCTCAACCCGAGAGCACTGACAAGGAGATGTAGCGCTGACTCAAGATACATGGACATCGTGTCAGCAATGGGCCCTCAAATGGGAAGGCTCTGTGTGTCTGTAGCAACCAGAGCTTCAGTGACTTTTCTGTAGGTGCATTATTAAATATACCCCAATAATAGACACTTACCAATCAAGAATGCTGTTTTTTTTTCATTATTTCAACCCCTAAAACTTTTGGATTTGTGCGGTTGACAAAGATGTTGGGTAATAGTATTTAAATCTTGTCAGGTTAATCAGATATCACTGAATAAAATAGTGTTTTACCTGCTAAGTAGTTCAAGTCAATGATTTCTATTTACTGTGGGTTTAGAGGAATCTCCCAATAAAAACAAACGTTCCTCCCCCTTTTTTTAAACCCCCAAAGCATAAAAGAGGACAAAAAAATTGTTTTTTTTTTCTTCCTAAGTGAATTTACAACTAGGCTATTTTCCATCAAAAAGGTAGCTGTTTATAACAGTGTTATTAAATATAATAAGGAAGCAGATTTTAACCAAAATGTTATAATGTAGCTTGAGGTCATAATCCAGGTTATAGGTTTATGATTTTTGCCTTATCTTTTCTCACCTTATACTGGACATAAAGTATAGCCTAACTTTTTAGGGCTAAATTAACCTGAAAACAGATTATATATATATATATATATATATATATATTTTTTTTTTTTTTTTTTTTTAAACATGACTGGGTTAGCAAAATGTATAAATGATGTTACTGTTATGTGCATGAAAGGAGATCCTTCCCCTATCGTAGATAGATTAAGGGCAGACATAGGTGATGTATACAGTACTAAACAGTGGCTAGAAAAATTCTTGCAGTGTGTCCCTGTAATGTGTGTGAGTCACTGTTCAGATACTTCCTGTTGTAAGAGAGCCATCTTTCAGTCTCCCTTCCTTCTCTATTCTTTTTTTTGCATGGTCTAAGGGAATGTCAAGCCAAACACACTCCAAGGTGTCCTTTCCCTCTGCCGCCCCCCCCCTTCCCTCTGTCTCTGTCTCTTTTTCTCTCTGAACCAGAGCCTCTCTGTCGTTTGCTGAGCGCCCTTCAGCCTGCTCCCACTCAGCAATTTAAAACACCTCAGTAAACCCTCACCTCGAAAGAAAAAAAAAAGGAAGGGGGGGGGGGATTCAAATCTTCTGCTTTTGCTGCGTATAGATAGACAACGAGATGCGGACATATGCAAGCATGCTGTTTTTGCATGCACGGCAGATGCGTGCACGTACCTCAGGGCAGCTCTTATAATAGCCAACCCTGTTATCAACACAAAAATATACAGCTTTCCAGTCACCACTTTGTTTCTCTGTTGTCTTGTAAATAAAATAACTCCTCTCAGTTTACAGAGCTTGGATAAAGTATTCACACCCCTGGGACTTTTTCTCATTTTGGCATTCTTTTAAAACCACAAACATCCTTCTGTGTATTATTTAAACAATTCTACATGACAAACCTGTATAGAAAAAATTGCTTTTTTTTATTCAGCTCTCATGGGATA